TCTTTTCACTGTTATGCAGATGACTGCCAGATTTATGTTCCTCTTAAAAAGAAAGATGGATCGTCTGTAAATCGTTTGCAAACATGTCCGGACGACGTCAAGTCGTGATTGGCGCTAAACTTTCTTTGTTTTAATGATTCTAAGACTCCACTGCTGTTCCGTGTGTTGATTTGCAAACCCTGAAATCATTCTGTAAACCAGAGATTGTTAATCTGGGTTTTAAAATTGATCCTGAACTCCAGATCGGGTCGGTTGTACGGTCTAGTTTCTTTCATCTGAGGCAGCTGGCCAAAATCAAGCACTTTCTTACGAGACAGCAATTTGAAACAGTAATCCATGCCTTTGTAACCGTTCGGCTGGATTACTGTAATTCTCTTTATTTTGGGGTGAGTCGATCTTCTGCTTTTCGACTGCAGCTAGTTCCGAATCCTGCTGCACGCCTTTTAACTGGCACTCGTAGATGCGAGCACATCACCCAGTTTTATATTCATTTCATTGGCTGCCCGTGCATTTTAGGATCCATTTTAAGCTGCTTGTATTTGTTTTTAAATGTTTGTCCAATGCTGCCCCTCTGTACCTCTCTGAGGTACAGAGGGGCAGCATACGTATCTTCCCAGTCCCTCAGGTGGGCAGACCAGCTCCTCCTGAGCGTGCCCAGGACTAATCGTAAGCTCAGAGGGGATCGGGCGTTTGCTGTGGCAGCACCAAAATTGTGGAATGAGTTGCCTTTACATGTTAGACAGGCACCTTCCTTATCTGTTTTTAAATCACGTCTTAAAACATATTTATTTACCTTGGCTTTCAGCACAGCAGGACTTGTTGATGTCTCTTAATATGTTTCTTATTAATTATATTATTTTTAATTTTTAAGGTATTCTATATGTAATTTAACAGTTTTCTCTTTTGTTTTGTATTTGTAGCACTTTGGCCAACATTGTTGGATGTAAAGTGCGTTATAAATAAAGATGCGACCATATTCCCCTCTGTTTCTCGAGAACTACCAGATCCACACGTTTTTGGCCTTTAGTTGTGTAGCTTCAGAATTAGTTTAGAGAAAAAGAGTAAACATAGCTGAGCAAGATGAATATACCAGCTCAAGTTAAAGGAAGAAAAAGAAAAGGTTGAATAAAAATGTTCCCTTCCTAGTACACACAAAAGCAAACTGGTAGGCTGGCTGCAAAGGGGAAAAACCACAGTTACCAGTATGCTGTAAAAGGAATGTCGCGATACCAGAAATATAGTAGTTGGGACCAATAGAAGTCCACGATTCTTCAAACCTATCTCGACACCTAAACAAAATGATTTTTGGGGGGATGGTAACGTGCAGTTCAGGACAAAACGAGGACGATAATAATTATTTGTTGTTAGCTGTCAGATTGAAGCTCATTCACCTTGAATTCTTTGAACAGATCTGGATCTTTTATGTGCTTTAAACTGACGGTGATGGAGAGACGGGGTTATTTTGCTGCAGTCGCTTTTAAGATGCCTTTAAATGTGGGACACCTACAGAATATTTACTGTGCAATTAGCATTTAAACTAAGCACAATGGACTATTAGGATAAGGAGTATTCCAGTATTGGGATACTGGAATACTCCTTATTCACGGTGGGAATGAGAATCAGCACCTCCAAATCTGAGGCCATGGTGGAGTGCCCACTCTGGGTCAGGGACGAGTTTCTGCCCCAAGTG